TCATGTTTGTGACGACTCATCTTTTGAGTGTATACAGCATACAATGTGGCACGGTTGAGGAATGATTCTGAAAGATGTGGCGGTGGCATTAATGGAGTGAAATGTGAAGGTTGAGGATAACGATGGATGAATACTCACAACAGGCAAAATGAAGTAGAGATCTACTTGTCATGTGCAAATAAAAAATGGTCCAACTCGAGAAACGTTGTTGTAGAATGTCCCAATTTTGCTATCTTTGCCATTTTTCATAAAATCCTAAGAGCTTAAAAATGGAGCCCAAGTCAGGTCTGTCCTTCATTAGCGATGCTTGACAGATTCATGTACATAAGCAGCGCCACAATATTAGCGATTTCTAAACAATGTGGAAATGACGGCCAAGCATCAGGTAGAGACTGTTCATCCCCTTTACCTAAAGCAGCTCAGACAGCAGCATCGCACTCTGCAATGAAGCTTTTAAACCAGGGAAAGAAATAGCATTTCATATGTATCATGACATCACAATTACCAAAAGCTGCTCTCTACTCAGCAATAACTCAATATGAGCCTCATTCCAGGCTTTTAAAGAAGAAATGTGAGAACAAAGGAACACAAAGCCCAGTAACACTGCAATACTTACAGCTGCTACTGTCAACATATCAAACACTTTGGTACAATAACGCCAGGCATTTGCATTCCCATACTTGGTCTGGCACTCATCTGTAAGACAAAGAAGGGCTCACTTATTTCAAACAGAAGGGTGTGATTATAGTGCAAGGAGTGAGGTCAGTGACAGTGCAGTCATCATCTGACCGCTATGAATCAAATCTCACCATAAAAGCCATAAACTTGAGTGATCTGTCGGCTTTCGTGGTTTCCACGTAGAAGAGTGATGCGGTCGGGCCATTTGGCTTTCAGCACCAGCAGGTAGGTGAACGTCTCCAGACTGTAATATCCTCGGTCAACAAAGTCCCCCTGCAGATGACGGAGGCTTATGAACAACACTCTGACAAAACATCACTTGAACACAATGAATTGGGACAGATGCCTATCGAGTGCAAACTGCTTTCAATGTACCAACCATAAATATGTAATTTGTGTCCGGAACCTGGCCGCCAGTTCGGAAAAGTTCACAAAGATCATAAAACTGAGGCACAGAGAGATAGAGATTGAGTGTAAGGCATTACATTGTATATATACACAACACACCAATGTCTCACATGCTATGTAAAGTGCAGGCTGTGTACAGCCACATTAGGGGAAACAAACTCTTTCTCTTTCTCTTATACCTGTCCATGTATGTCCCCACACACTGTTACAGGAGTGGAAACAGGCTGGACGTTGGATTCCTCCAGCAGAAGGTCACACACATAGTCACATAACCTCTGTAGAGACGAAAGACAAAACACAGTGAGTCAGTCATCGTTCACATCATTCAGTGTTGTTAAATGAGACGAATTTCAGGGAAATCTTCTTTTTGTCAGGGAAAAGCTTCTGAGACATTGTTTACAATTGCCAAGACCCAAAAAGTGATACTTGAGGAACATTTATTGAAACCACCAACTCATGTAGCATTGAACCGTTAACTTATTTGGCCGGATTGACTGCATTTGATAGTAGGTAATATTATAACAATAATATTGTTACAATAATAATAATAATATTACAATATTATACAATAATATTTATACATATAACAAGTCAATATTAGAGTAAATGTGGCACTATGTGATGAGTGAGTTACAAAGATCAATGCAGGTGTACTCACAGTCCAGTCACTTTGAAGTGTTCAGCCAGTGAGACTCAGGGTCACCTCTAACACTAAGAATTAGGATGACTTGAACAAAGCTTGTCTAAATATCTCCAATTGCTTTTGGTCTCCTAAAGTTGCAGGGTTAGGTTTTTTTTGGCAATTGCCAAGACACAAAGGTTGGCACTTGTTGCACAGTTATTAAAAGCTCTTACTCCTGTAGCCTAAAAATTCTAAAACACGCTTTTCTCAACCATCAATCTCCTGCACCCACAATGCACCTGTGAAAACAATTGTAACTATTAACATTACTTAGAAATCAGAGCTTGAACCGTACAGACTATGGCTTAAACACTGTAAACAGGATTCAGATTTCTCTTTGGTGCGCACAACAACGGAGGCCAATCTTGGAGAGAGAGTTAGAAGACTGTAATTACAATATACTGTGTACAAAAGAGTACTATGTTCATGTCATCTTCAGTTAAAGTCTTTGTGTATGATTCTGTTATGAGTTCATCAGAATAAACACACTATATTCGTGTTCATTGTCTATATTTACATCATGCTACAAAAGAGTCATTCGTGAGCTCATTAATCACAATCCAGCTACTAACAGTAAACATGGTGCCACATTTACTCTAATATTGACTGTATTGTTATAATATTACCTACCATCACATGCCAACACATACTCTAATATTGACTGTATTGTTATAATATTACCTACCATCACATGCCAACACATACTCTAGTCAGAATCTGGCCAAGACAAGTTAACGGTTCTATGCTTACTAACAAGAATATTCACATCTATATTGAGGAGTTTTCAGCAATAAGGGGTTTATATTATGGCGTAAAAGAGAAATACATTATTCTCTAAACTTCCTGAGCTACTTATCTTTCTGTCACTAAATAGGACTTTGTTACTTAACGCCAGCTTTATAGTGAATGTCTCAGTCTGTGAGTGAAGAGAGACCTCTGTGGATAGTGGTAACTGCACCACACTGACAACAGAATGTCATCCACCGTCACGACACTCAGCATCATCAGCTCACTGAGCTATGGCTACATGCGTACTCATTTAACGTCAGCTGGTAATGGCACACCACGTTAGCTCACTAGCACTTATGCTTCGTAAGCATTTCATAATGTAGTTGGACTCGTATTTACCTGTTATTGCTAAACTGAACAAATCGTTTGAGCGGGTTTCACTTCCTGGCCAAGAGATGAAGTCAGCAGGCTAACGTCACTAGCTAGCTAACGTTACTAGCTAGCTAACAGTTAATTACGCTGTTACAACATACCGAAGCAAACACATTTAAATAAAGTCACGTTTACCTTGAGGTCATTTTCTGGGAGATATTTACACTGTTTTGCAATCTCTGCATATTTATCCAAATCCAGAGGCGCCATGGTGCCTAGTGAGTCGTCACGCGCAACTTCCTGCAACAACTGAGCGAGTGTCACACTACTGCCATCTATCGTCTGCATTAACGAAGACAACTCAGTCGCAGTTTTTTTATACATTTTAATTTATGTGAGCCAAACTATTGAAAACCAAACTGCAACTTCAAAAGCACGAATTGATTGATTATATAAATGTCCCATGTCCTCTTTCTTCCCCATTCAAAAACATTAGAAGAATTATTTTGATTGTTCCCACTGGAAGTGTTGAGTCACTGTGTCCGACCGAAGGTCAGTAAGACAGTTATCATAGCGCAGAATAACAGCAGAGTTTTATCACATAGGCTTAAGAGAACAGAAAGAATATAAGATGAAGACATAATTATATTGTTGATTAAATAAAGAAACTGACTACACTACAATTCAAAATCAAACTACTTCCTTATTAAACAGAGATGCAACTTGACATCACGACCACCGGAGGGCACAATACACCACGAACTCATGTAGCTTATTTATGAGCAGGCATGCCAAACCTCAAGCACATACAAACGCATACACACGGTTCTCTACATTAGACATGTCATTAAAAACCAGAAGTCTGTATGAGTTGTTTACATCGTTGTTTTCTAAACTCTGCCATTGAAATACCATACTCAACTATCAGTCCCCCGCACCCAGAATGCACCTGTGAAAACACCTGTAACCAATTAGATCACTGAGAAAGCTTAAACCCTATAAATAGGATTCAGGTTTGCTCTTTGGTGTGCCCAACAATGGAGGCCAATCTTGGAGAGAGGGTTGGGAATAGTAATTATAATATACTGTATTTTGTATAGAGTACAGTAACTATGTTCATGTCATCTCCAGGTAAAGTCTTTGTGTATGATTCTGTTATGAGAACAAACACATTGCGTATGTGTTCATTGTCTATATTTACAACATGCTACAAATTAAAATGCCAAAGACGCTATACAAAAGTGTTTTATACTCGGCACAGTGGGCAGTTGGCATGAGCTATTTATATGTATTAAGTGTTTGTAAAACTGTGACGCAAAATACAATTTTTAGAAGTTTATATAATTGTGAATGAGTGTCTGCTTTTGCAAGACATATAAGGTGTGTGTGTGTGTGTGTGTGTGTGTGTGTGTGTGTGTGTGTGT